GGGATATCTTGACGTTTTCCCTCCCTCTGCTCGCTATCGACTGTCAGTGGAATTTCGAGAGCCTATCTCTGTTCGGAAGAGCTCGGCACCGGCGAGTGGATCAGCTCCCATGACCTTAGTGGACAAATCCGGCCGGGATCCCATTGGAGAGCGAGCACACCCGGATGCTTCCGTTAGCATACATACATACATACATACATACATACATACATACATACATACATACATACATACATACATACATACATACATACATACATACATACATACATACATACATACATACATACATACATACATACATACATACATACATACATACATACATACATACATACATACATACATACATACATACATACATACATACATACATACATACATACATACATACATACATACATACATACATACATACATACATACGAATACGTTCCTAATTACCACGTATCATCATGCACCACATGCATGGACTACTCTCTCCATGCTCATAATAGAGATACCAATCAGTGTATGTTGCCCTGTTCACGCTCGAAGGCAGGGTAGAATGAGCTCGAGCTCGCTGAGCACTCCCTCGCAGCCGTGATCGTGAGCGGTGTTTGTATCGCTACTCCCAGACTGGGGGGAAACCGTCGTCACCTGATTCTTTGATGAACTTCAGGAGTTCTTCGGGATTCCTCAAGGGGTACCAGGGGCTTAAAGGGCTCCTTGCGAACGTTGACAAACATTCTACAATCATCAATCCCATATCTCTCTGTATAAGTCATTCTCGTCGACATCATTCGACTACACATTGGCAAAAGACGATCATTCGAGGAAGAACCCGAGAGGCTTGTACAGGTCTGTCAGCCGCTAGAACCTGTCTCTTGTTTCTCGCTGGAACCGCGATTGTCGAGAACATCACTTGGCGCCTTTCTTCGATATCTGAGATATCTGAGTTTTGGTATTCACCTGGCATACTTATCCTCCTCTTATTCCATTTCTCGAAGGCGACATCGTATCCATCGCAAAGGCACTGGCCATCAAAGATGGATGCGTCCACGAAATCGCATGCTTGTCTGGAGGAGGAGCTCTTCAGTGACATCAGGTCCATCGCAGCTCCATAGAAATTGATCGAGGGATCCTGGAGTCTCTCCTTGTCCCCATTAACCCTGCTTGGGAGGTTGTTCCAAGAGCCGTGAAGCGTCGAATAGACAATTGAGACCATGCGGGTGAATAACTGACATGCCTCACTTCTGGTTTCTACCGAATCGCCGGAGTCATCAGACATTTTATCAAAGAGGTCGATGATATCCCTGACATGCGTGCTGACCTCGTTTGATAGCATCGCTGCGTGAGCGCCATCTTGTTTCAGTCTCGCGTTTCAGTTCGACGGAGATCGGGAACCATTTGTCTCGAGGAGCCGTTTATTCAGACTGGACCGATGACCGGCCATGACAGCAGCATTGTCATCGCTCATAGCAATGGGACCGGCTGTTTCCGAGATGCAGCTTGTCATTCTCGAGTCTCTTCCAAAATCGCCGCCACTAATGATACGGCATATTCTCGAGTGCTCGAACAAAGCCGAAGGAAGATTTTCTGACTTGGGCTTTTTTCTGCTCATGATCAACGTCGACTGATATCAACACTAACGAAAGTTGCTCCCTTTGAGCAACACCGGGCAATATAATATTGTTGAGTCAAGGAGAATCCTGTGGAATTCAGCCTCCCTGTTCTGTTTCTTTCCCTTCACTTGGTCTGCCATGAGATGTATGAGCCCATTCCGCGTCCCGGAACCCAGATAGGAAGTCGAACCGGGATTACCCCGAGAGCGATTCGTGTGGTCTTTGATGATGGGGTCCAAGTCTTTGATAAGCTTCATTGGGCCAAGGATTCCCGACATTGCCTTCGTCTTCGCACAGGCTCTCTCGGTGGCCTCCGACTGAGTGAGAGAGCGGCACATCCTGCGTTACCATGACTCTGATGCTATGCGTTATTCTGCTAGGAGCAAGCCCCCATTCCTGTTCCTCGTTCTCGTTTTCATGAGCATACACCCCTTCGATATTCTTCCGATTCGTAAATCCTGAGGGGGGGTTGTCAATGCTGGATTGTGTCCACCAGCTTCAGGGAAGAGGCAGCAGAAGCAGTGAGCTGCGCCCTACGCTGGAGAGCAGACGCGCCATGTGCGGAGAACCTTCGTTCTGAGGAAATTTCCCAACCTTTTGTTGAACGATTTAGTCATGCATCTCCGACGAGTCGGAGAAAACGGTCCGTGTCTGTTCCGGAAGAGCCTATGCGCTCTCCAGGGTCAAAATCTTACCTCTGAAAGTGTGAAAGACGTTGACTTTCCCGGATTCTTGGTGAACTCCAGAAGTCTCGGGGAGAAATTGGTCATAGGTGAGTCTTCCGGAGCCCGAAGCTTTCCCCGAGAATGCTGTAAACAGTGCTACCCCGGCAATTCTCTTCCGAAGTCTTTGGGAGTAAATCACCGTCACCAAGAGAATCAGACCCAGTCGGCGCCACTTCATTTCCATGACAAAGATAATCAGAGGGCGTCGGCGGTACTTCAATGGGTGTTCGGTGTTCGACTGGCTGAGTCGGCGGTACTGCATCATTATTATCAGTTATCACAGAGGGTTTCCAGCGGACGAGCTCGCCTTGTTATCGACTCATTCCGAGCTGGACACACCGGAGAGCTTTTCGGGTGTCCCCCGTCTGACCACGGGTCGACTTCCTTCGTTGCCGGCCTGGAGCTCCGCTGGTTACCGATCCGTTCCATGTCTATACTCCGGTCCGTGAAATAAGCTTCCATGAAAGCCTCGCCGAGGCTCGAGTCGTGGATCTGGAGCTTCATCTTCATCGGAAGAGTCGCACAGCTCACCCGGATTTCCAGTCATAACAATGTATATGTCTGTATTACGCAGGAACCCTCAATTGTTTACGCGCGAAGCTCTGTCGAGAGGGCGACAAGGTAAATCCGTCTGGCGCGAGGACACCGCGAGGAGGGTCCGCGCCCTGAGAGGTCTTCAAAGAGCGCGACTCTCTTGGAGACATAGCGCTCCATTCGACCAGACCAGATTATGTAGGACGACTCCTGATTCTACGGCAGGAGCGAGCTCCACCGTCGTAGATTCTGAATTGCGCTGTGTCAGAATCAGTTCGAATCTCCCTGTCCACGCTCAGCTAGTGTAGACGGAGATATCGATCTTGCGCCCCCTCCATGTCGGTGCCCCGGGCGATCGTGTCCTGGTCTCGCGACTCGTGCCGAGGATACCTCGACTGTTGACCGGTCGCCTAGTGCCGAAAACTCTTGGCCCGCGAAAAAATGTTGCGGTCTCGTCGTAGAGAACTGCCTACTCGGGTCGGATCCCGCTCTTCATGCTCGACTCCTTGTTGTGTGGCTTCACAGGCACGATTGCGCCGTGTTCGTAGACTAGCCCAGGGGCATCAATCGGATGAATTTACAGTAGAACAGAGGATGTCTCCCATAAGAAATGGAGCTGCTCTACATCGGTGCAGCTGTATCGTCGACGATCAAAGGCGGACTTTTCTTTGGAAATCCGCGGGCTCATGGCGCCATTTTTCGCCGGAAATTATTTATTCCGCGAAACATTTGGTTTTCTGACCTGTGACCAGCAGAAATAGAGCGCATCATTCTCCATTCCGGAGAAAAAGCCAGAGCTCGTATGAAATCGAAGCGTCGGAGTATATTTGCGATTACAAACGCCAATGGAATATCGATTGTCCCCAGTCTCAAAGGCCCGGGAGAGCAAAGTCACGGACTTTGAAGAAATCAGCCGCTGACGGAGGGTGACTGCGTGGTTCGCAGCATTTGATTGTGTATCCGGAGACTCTAAGGTTGTACATATCCATCTATCGCTGCTTATCGATGCCAAGGCACTCGGGCGTAGTATTCACGGCTAAGTCGGGCGCCGAAGTTCATCCCGGTAAGGAACACGGAAATTCGAGGGAGCCGAAACATAAGACGGGAACTGACTCGTGCTCGGATGATCTCACCACCGTGTATCGAGGAGCAAATCTTCGGAAATTGAGAGAGCCAGTCGAATCGGCAATCGAAGGAAGCCTGGAGGGATAGAAACTCGCGCGTAGCGCCAACGTGTCCCGCATTGGATGAGTTTGCCACTATGGCTCGCTGTCGTGGGCTGCGGGTGATTCTTCCAGGCATTGAGAGCACCACGAAGTTGAGTGGTTCCCGGAGGAGCTCGTGGCGCTCGTTGAGTCCGATGAGGACCTACGATAGGACAACTGGGTTTTCGGGCTGACCGGAGGCCAAGCGGCGGTCGCCGTCCCGCCACGCCGGAGGAAAGCCCTGACGCGATCCGAAGCCGCCGTCAGCACCTCTTAGCCCGGCGGAAGACTTGCGACTGCGGTCCTTGACAGAGGTGAAGGCGCCCATCCTTGACTTTATGTAGGTAGCACCGAGACGTTGCGATAGCAAAGCCAGTTATTGCGGAGCTGACGTTATCGTAGTTCGAGAAAATTGGAGACTCCGCCCATGCGTCCCATCAAGGTAATCGCCTGCAAATTGAGAGGCACGGAGCTCAACAGGCGTCAGGGAGCGCGGGGCTGACCGCCTCGGGCACCAGCTTTCCGACCAGTTTCAGAGGCGCCGATACCGGCTTTGCCAAGCGAAAAAAAACGGGGAGTTCAATGAGAATCTTTGGATGAATGATTCGGGGATGGAATCCTCGAGGAGGGGCGCCACTTCACCACGTGACGCCTTCGCAGAGCTTCCCGGGAGCGAGTGCTTCAGTTGGGTCACTGTCGACTTCCCAGGAAGACACTGTGGCAGCTGACTCGCGCGATGCGCTCTCTCGTCGCCAATGACACATTCTAGTACTAGGATCTCCTCCCGTCCCGAAGCTGCTTTGCTGAGGGAGCCGGATGGTTGGAGACAAACGGAATGCCTGCACTCACTCAGATGCTGCGTGATCTAACTCTCTCCGCCCCTTTCTGAGCGCGGGGGATCACTGTCTAAAATCAGAGAGAACCCTTCCACGGCTTCAAGAGCCTAAATTCTTTCATTGTCTCCTCGAAGAAACATTCTGATGTGGGCATATCAGCTCGGCGTTGTCAGATCAGAGCACATGATGACTCAGACACCATCGCACGAATGTCTCGCTGGGCTCAAGTTTGACCTGACCTAACTGCGCTTGTGAGCATCAAGTTCCACGTCTCACGTCACGTTGATATCCGAGCATGATAATCGACCATGTATTCCCAGAGTAAGTTCCACGGCGAAGGCGATCTTCTCTAATCTATGTTCGTCGTTGCGCCATCGTCAGAGGGAGCTGGACTGGGGATTCTGGTCAGATTCTGATAAAAAATCGGTTTCTCTTCAAATCTATGGAGAGTCCGACGACGGAAGCGAGCCCGAGCTTTGCGGCGATCATCATCGAACCGATAAAAAGAGCACTGATCGTGAGAGGAGCTTCAAAATCTGTGAGAACATGGAAACCAATCCTGTGAAGTCCACTAGCTAGAGAATCCCCTAGGAGGGCCTCGAAGTCTCCAGCGATTCTCCTCACCCACGTACGAAAAACACTACCACATTCTTCGGGGAAATGTATCCTTATCCCCATATCCTTCGGTTGCTCTGTGATATCCTCGGGGAATGAAGCCCTCAATTCCGAAGATATTTTTCCTTATATCCGAAGCTACACCCATTCTCTCAAGCCACAATTTTCTGTCGTGCATGAGCTGGCCGGAAAAATATTTCAAAGGTAGAAGTTCGACATACCCGCCCCCCGGGTCGGCCTACCCCGTCAAGAATAGAGGGCCCGGAGGAAGATGGGGTCAGCTCAAAATAAAGCTCGGAATGAGTGAGAATACCCTTGAATCAGCCCATCTAGTTCGGAGGTCAGAAGATTGGAAAGTCCCGCCTTGAGGACATTTTATCGCGGACCGAGTCTTCCCGTCAAGGAATAGACTCTGAGGAACAGGTATATCGCCCGTGGCTCTGCAAAGACGTGCTTGACCACCCTTGGTTGCTTATCGCCGCCTACGGCACTTTTTGTTGCGCCGGCGCCGCCTCCCGACTTGATAGCTGCCGCCATCATCGGACCAGCTGACTGCGATGGCTTCCGCGACGCCCTCTACGGAGCTGGCTAGAAGGATTAATCTCGAGTCACCCTCCTCCCTCCGAGCCTAGGACCTATAGCGGATGAATCCATTCCGACGAGTCCCTCCGCCGCAGCAACGAGCTGTCCCGGAGAGAAGGAGGCTGCTCTCGGGAGAGCGTACCACAAACGAACCACTCCACGGAGTGACACACCGCACCGAATCGGCCATCGAAGTCGGAAATCACCATTCGGAATTGGGGGACTTCACACCGGCTTCACCGAGAGTTGGTCGAGTTGGCCACTGCTGCTCTCTGATGACATACGGGGTGCAAGACGGACCGATAGTTTCAGAAGTTTAGGGCCGTCGGGCGGGCCGGGCCGTTCGCTCAGAGACGGCACAACCTGGGAAAGGAGTTCATGGATGGCCTGACTCGATACACCGAAATTCGGGGAAATACACAGTGACGCATGGATACGATGCCAAGCTCATCATCGCATCATGGCATTAAGCGCTTCGGAGTCGAGGAACTCGTATTTTCTCAAATAATGGTGAGAGTGATGGTGACTGGGTGACTCTCGATACCCGCTAGATTGGCGGAGAAAGCCCCCGAGAGGAAGAGAAGGCAACTTTGGGCTGGGCTGGTTGGTTGCTTTAGCTGCCGCCGCCGACGACTCTTCACGGTAGCAGTGTGGCAGCAGCTCGATGGGGCTGGCTGCTTCCTAGAAGAAAGTCAGGAGAAAAGCCGGAGAGCCAGGTTCCGAAACTATGGCTGTGTGAAGTCACGGGGTTGTTTGTTCCGCGAACTAGGAGGAGGTGAAGAGTTTGTGCGAGGTTGCGAAACACCGCATCTATCGGTTCTGCTTGTGATGACTTGCCGTTGCGAGTGTGTCGACGCCGGATACTTTTAGAGTCGCAGTCGTTCCCTTGTCGCTTCCATTCTTTGATCGAGCATCGAACATTGCTAGTCAGCTGTGCGATTCGTTGCTGCTGTTGCTGCTGCCGTTGCCGACGCGACCATAAAAAGCAAGCCCCGGTCTTGGTTGACAACGACCCTCCGAATTATCATCATCATCATGGGAACCTGTTTCAGCAAATCCCGGTCAGGGGGGAATAAGGCGAAGCCTGAAGAAGCGGTGTTGGGTCAGGAAGTTTTGGCGGCCGCAGTTGGCCACTCGATGGGAGCTCATGCCCTCCAGACAGGACCTGGAGGAGTCGGAGTCAGTGTGGGAGGTGTTGTCGTGACTAATCAAGAACCGAGACACAACCTCATGCATCCCCTTGACCCTATCGGTGCCGTGAGGCCCGTTGAATCTGTGGAACACAACTCCCCCGGCATAATGCCTATACCGAAGGTGTTTGTGGCTCTCTACGACTACGATGCTCGAACCGATGAAGACCTCTCATTCAAGAAAGGTGAACATCTCGAAATTATCAACGATACCCAAGGCGATTGGTGGTTTGCGAAGAGTAAAACAACGAAACAGGAAGGATACATTCCGTCAAACTACGTAGCCAAACTCAAGTCCATCGAAGCTGAACCGTGAGTATAGACAAATCATGTTAGGTAGGAGCTTTTCTTTATCTTCGCGGAGAGAAAGTTCGGCCGTAATAACCAGACAGTCACCACGAGTTTATATCGGGCGGTCGCCGATAACTTTTCCATGGGAAAAACCCGAACCGGATGTAGTCCGGAGTGTAAATCCGCACTGTTCATTATCATCGTCTCACTCTTTTCCGCGTGCGTCTCCTTCGGTCGCCGCCGCTGCTGCTGCTGCTGCCGATATTTGAAATGGGTCAACAACCAGCCCCGTCGACGTATCGGAAGGCCGGGCTGCCGAAACGAGGGATGAAAGTCTCGGATGATGGGACGAGCAACTCCTCGAGCTTGCAGCTCACCGCTCTTCGGAGCTCGTCTGACACCGCGTAGGCAGGGTGACAGGCTCGACGCGGCCAAAAGCAGCGACTTCAGGCTGCGTGATTGAGGTGGTCATCTAGGAAGCATTCCATGGAAGCCCCAACCTATCTGGAATAAGAAACTTCCGTTGACAAAGAGCGAGCACGATTCTCTCGCAGCGATTCGGCAGCCGAGAGGAGCCTGTGTGAAATTCTCCCTTGAGTTCAGAGAGCTCAGAACACCGGGTCATATACCATATCATGGAGATGGAGCCGATGCGTCGACTGATATTCGATCTCACTGAATCGGCTTTTTGCAGAGTTTACTATCAGTCTTGACTTGCTCACAGCGCGGAATCGGATATTATCTTTCAGGTGGTATTTCGGGAAAATAAAGCGTGTAGAAGCCGAGAAGAAGCTCTTGTCCCCCGAGAACGAGCACGGAGCCTATCTGATCCGCGACTCTGAGAGTCGGCGGAACGATTACTCTCTATCAGGTTCGTCGTTGAAGATATCGGAAAATTCTCTGACAACCAGAATACCGACTCACTTGAAGAAAATCGCCGGTTGAGAAGTTGAACGTAGAGATTGGTCCCCGGACCACTCGCTTGATTAGTCTATAGTCATGGCGTCTGGCCATGCAAACTTATCGAACCTCTGATTCCCTCGGACACCCTGAATATTTTGACGTATGCTGCGCGTACGATGTGTTCGAGACGTACTGTGAAACTTCCTCCAATCCTTGCAGTTCGTGACGGGGACACTGTGAAACATTATCGGATTCGCCAACTGGATGAAGGTGGATTCTTCATCGCGAGGAGGACAACGTTCCGAGCCTTACAAGAACTGGTTGATCATTACAGCAGGGACCCCGACGGACTCTGCGTGAACCTCAAGTCACCTTGCGTTCAGGTAAGCTCAGTGCTTTCGAGCAGCGAATAGCCAAAGTCGCTATGGTACGGAGAACAACCTTGGAGTCATCGGCACCTTCAAGAGGGCTGCGCCATCCGTCGCTCTCGTGGAGCATCGCTGGTTTACACCTTGGGGTCGTTCCTAAGCTGCATGTGTGATATTTTAACCGGAACGAGGGCTGACACGCTTCCGGGACATGACGGACCTCGAGAATTGCTTCGCGCTGTTTTTCCTGCAGCAAAAGGATCGCTCTCCATGCAGACAGGTGATTCAGAACGATGAACTTCCCCGACTAAGTCGTTGCCCGACCATGTCCCCGGGGAAAGTTGAGACGAAATGTGCGGACCGAAAAGAATGTATACTACATGTATAAGGCCTTCGCGATGCGAGAAGTCGAGTGCAGCGGGAAAAGTGTTCTCGGCTGACGGTATGGCCTAGCCCCAGATGAGAAGCGGAATCACCTGAGTCAGCATTCGACAACGGTCTCCGAGCCTAACCCCACTTTCAATGAATTCGCCTCCCCGATCGCGCCTCCAAATTTTTTGTACGATCATCGATTCACACAGCGAGGAAAATGAGCAATTCCGGGGAATGTGGGACAGCGCGAACGGCTTGAATTTCAACGGTGTCGCGTGTTTCAGCTGTGACCGTTGGTGCTGCCTAACTAATCTGTGTTCTTTTCACGCGTGCTTAGGATCAACCTGCCCAGCAATCGTGGGTACGTAGTGGCGATGACATTCTTGAACCCACTTGTGCAAGCGAATCGTCCACATACGATCTAACGACGTGCAACGGAGTACAACGATTTATTTGGCTCCGATTCCTGTACTGTCCGTGACTTGGTTGAGCGCATGTGCCTTGGCACGGAATTCCTGCTCCTTCAGTGACGTCGACATGACGGCGAGAACGATGTTGGGAGAATCCTCTTCGCGAGCGCTAACTGACTCATGAATTTGCTGGCATGCTATCGCCTAGCCTGCGCACTATCTGTCTTTCGAATCATCGACGAAAATCCGTATGTGGAAGGTGGTCGCCCTCCAACTTTCATATGCGCATCATCATTATCATAAAGATTGCTCCAACCACGACTACCGATGGTGCTGCTTTCGCAGCCGCAAGATCTCAGTACCGTCCCTGGGACGCGCGGGCTCGAGATCGATCTCGCTCAGATACGTAGCAGCTCTCGGATCGGTCACGCTGCCGCTGCTCGTGGAAACCTGCGCCGCATGATCCGGGCGTTTCGGTTAGCCCAAAGCCTGTATGTAGTCAAGAGCTCTCGAACTCATCCCATGCAATCTGACTCCCAGGTGGAAAAACCATCGACCGGCGGTCTGTCTCACAAAACTCGCGATCAGTGGGAAATAGACAGAAACTCGCTCAAGTTCATGCGAAAACTAGGACAAGGACAGTTTGGAGAGGTCTGGGAAGGACAATGGAATAATACAACACCCGTTGCAATCAAAACACTCAAACCGGGCACCATGGATCCTAAAGACTTCCTCGAGGAAGCTCAAACAATGAAGAAACTCAGACATCCAAAACTGGTTCAGCTATACGCCGTGTGCACGCTCGAAGAACCCATATACATAATAACGGAACTCATGAAAAACGGGTCCCTGCTCGAATATCTGCAAGGTAAGCGGGAGTCATCGCAGCGTCATCGCTCATGCCAGAATTATCGTTGCTCTCCGTATATAGTATGCGATAACATTTGATCCTCTCGACACATCTTAACTCATAACTATGCCCTTCCTCCTGGCCGTCTTCGCTGCAGGTAAGGGTCGATCACACAAGCTACCAACATTGATCGACATGGCCGGCCAAATCGCTGCCGGTATGGCGTATCTCGAACAGCAGAACTACATCCACCGAGATTTGGCCGCGCGCAACATCCTGGTCGGAGACACCAACTTAGTGAAGATAGCTGATTTCGGATTGGCTAGACTAATCAAGGTAACGTGGTAGATCCCCAAAAAAATTATACGCCTATGTGACGTAAGACGAGAGCTTTACCGGTCCTCGTGCCGATGAGAATGTAGCTCCGGAACGCCTCTCTCCAAGGGAGCGCCTGAGCTCGAGCAACTTGGTTGAAGAGCTCAGAACGCTCAAACGCTCAAACACTACTTCCGCCAACAATGCTAGCCTCGGCGACGTCATAACATACGGGCGCTAGCGTGCCGCGTCGCCCCATAGCTTCTGCGACACCGCGCCGCGCCGTCGTTACCGCTCAATTACTCAGCTAACAGAGACCCCTCTTTTTCTTCCTTGAAACGACGACGAACGGTCGCTGCGACGTGTGACTGCTGCCGCTGCCACTCTCGTTCTGATCACTGACAGAATGTAAGTGCCAGCCCCAGTGGGATGCCGAGACTCTTTCCTAATGGCTCCTACTGTACGTAGCTGTACGTAGGCGGAATAGCATGCGCGCTAACTGGAGACGACATTCACACGCTTCGGAAACGCACAGAATCCACCCTTTCGAGCGATATTGAGTCGCCACGCTCCCAGCCTGCAGCGGCACCTAGTCTACGATGAGAGGGCATCACCCGCTGACAATATGCGGCGGCCGCCTTCTCTTATTGTCCGCCCTTGCTGTGCGCGAATATTCCTGCTCAACTAATTTTTCCTAGGCTCATAGCACAGAGGATTAGGTCGATATTGGAAATTTCGGTTGTTTCCTTTGGTACTCGTGTTCGCTTCGATCGACAAGATCCAGAAAATGGTGCAGGTCGAGCAACATATCAACGACCGTCTCCTTCGCAGGAGGATGAGTACGAAGCGAGAGCTGGAGCTCGATTCCCTATCAAATGGACAGCACCTGAGGCTGCCAATTACTCGCGTTTCTCAATTAAGTCAGACGTCTGGTCGTTCGGCATTCTGCTCACAGAATTGGTCACCTACGGACGTATCCCATACCCGGGTGAGTGGATGGATACGGAGATTTGAGAGATTTACGGAATCCGCCGCTGCCTGAATGTCGATGTCCGCCTGATGCAACTTGACTCTGGAACTTGACTTGCAGGGATGACGAACGCAGAAGTCTTGCGACAGGTAGAGCACGGTTACCGCATGCCCTGTCCCCCGGGTTGTCCTCCTGCTCTTTACGAGATCATGCTGGAAAGCTGGAATAAGGACCCTGTGAAGCGGCCGACATTCGAAACACTGCAGTGGAAGCTGGAAGACTTCTTTACATTGGAAGGCTCCGAATACAAGGAAGCTTCCATCGCCTACTGAGCATCTCTCCTCTGTCTCGCGCTATATAACTATACTCTCCTCTCTCTCACTCTCAACTCTCACGGCACTCCGCGAACAGAAAATTTTCTCCCGAGTCGATGTGAGAGCTGCCTGATTAGTCCGTGACCATATACAGTGGAACCTCGACTTACGATCGTCTCGACTTACGAACGATTCGACTTACGATCTTTTTTTTGAGAGAGGATACCGTTCCGACTTCCGAGCATCGGTTCGTTTTGCGACCGATTTAAACGGGACGAGTGCCTCGACTCAAGACCATTGATTCAATTCACGAGCGGTTTCGAGCTGTATCAAAAATAACCATCCCCAGAGTCATATCGGGACCGGCGATCTCGGAGCGCTCGTCATTTCGCACCTCCACGCCGGAATGTCTAACGTGCTCCGCTTGCGCATGCCCGCGCAAACTTCGCGGTCCTTTTTCTCCGCTCGGAGCGGATCAATCGCTCGAATATGCGCTCCTGTGGGATATTCTGTTTCGACTTACGATCTTTTCGACTTACGATCGGTCTCCGGGAACGGATTAAGATCGTAAGTCGAGGTACCACTGTATCGGTGAAGGACGGAAACTTCGGCGAAACCCTCTTGCTGCTCGGATTTGTGCTTCGTCGAGGGAATCGGTTTTGTGATCCCCTCTGAACGGATCGATCCATCCGATCTTCATTGATGAATGAGTGTATGAATGACTAGAAACACAAGCCGATGCATGAGTCGCATCTTGTTGCTGCTGCAACCCGACGTCCTCAACTCAAGACGCCGGGTAGCGGCAGCGTCCGCATCGTATCGAAAGACTTTGAGTGGATGAGAGAGCGGTGAAGTGGGCGTATGGTCATGATGAATTTTTTCAACGGCGGGGTTTCGACGTCGTCGTCACCCTGGAGAAGGTCATTCTGCTTGACCATTTGGAGTGTTCTGAGAATGATGTGACTGTGGACTCAATTCTTCCCCGTGCGAAATGAGCGTTCCGCAAAGAATCATAGCTACCCAAGGTGACAATACCACCTGTCGGAACCGCCGCAGCCATCTTCGGCGTGAGATAGGTGATTTTACTTTAACGAGACTTCGCTGTCGATGGAGGTCGCGGCTGGTACCCAGTTTCCCGATCGCAGCGCTATCACAAGCATAGCCGCAAGGAGAACGAGAAAACTCGACGCTTGTTCAGCAGCAGCGAGAAACTGATGGAACAATGCTGAATGATTAAGGCGCTCGTCAATATCAATATATTTGTATATACACTTTTATAGAATCATGTGCAACAGCCTCGCTGTTGACTAGCGGGGCTGAAATCTCTAATATGTCTTCGGCTTAGATGATTGTCGTCGAGTTTACGAGTGATAAATATTCACCGTGAATATGTCCGGAAGCGTTTTCTCATTTCCTCATCGAGCTTGAAGCGCGCCGGGGAATACATCCGAATGGCCCCCGTTCTGGACTTTCCGCTTGGCTGAAGCGCGAGTAATTCCAGGCTGGATGTGCCTCACGGGATGTTGAGGAGACAGGAATCGAAAAACTAGAATATCCGATTGGCGTTCTATCGTTTTCTCTACAGCAGCCAGAATCAGAAGAAAAGTAGTGGATGATCAGTGATCTGACCCGAGCAGCGGGATCAATAACTGAATCGAAGGAGATGCAGGGAACGGAACAAGACGGTGCACAGGGCGCGTCCGATGCAATCCCGAGGTCCATATCGAAGAGACGTGAGATGATCTGTAGGAAAGGAAGACTGATGTCTGCTCATAACGCGTCAAAGGATATTCGTCGAGCGCGGGAGCTTCCAGCTCAGAATCGCGGAGGGGGAGCGGGAAACCGAACGCTTGTATGACCATGAGACTGAGGCAATATGTAACATATTTATATGACAGATGGCTCTAAGCTCCGACACCATGGCTGTCAGCCTCCACATCAGTGTTCCGACTCCCTATAGCGATTCGAGATCTTATCATACATATACTTGAAGAAAAAGAGAAGATTGTCAACCCGATGAGGTCGTTGACACTTCTGCGATAACAACCACACCGAGCAAGCCTGATGTATGGCCTCTATAGTCGCTAGATGGTCCGGGTTCCGGGTTCTCTGCGGCCGCCAAAACAAGCTGATCCTCCCCTTCAGGCCCACTCTGGAAAGGAAGGAGCTCTGAGTTCGGGCCGTCAGGTTGGTTGGCAGCCGGTCTTAGTTGAATCTCAGGATGACTCGCCGCCCATCGCCTCGGCGACAGGCAATACCTGTTATGGAGCGCCGAAATCCTCTCGTCTAGGATGATACGTCTCGTTTGCGTCCAACAGCAATCCACGAATACAATCCTGTCGTATGGGAATGCCTGATGTAGATTCCCGCAAACTGGGCAAACGGTCTGCCTCTCCGTAGCGCGTATGCTTTCAAAAGTGGCTTCACCGTCGGGGAAAATGAGAACCGTTCTACAGGGGTCATACTCGGGTATGTCCGGGTACGTGTGAATATGGACATCTTCACTGAGGATGGCCGCATGGATTCCCGTCGATCTGCCCGCCGCTTCGTGAGCGTGTCTGATGATGTCGATTCGGAAGGGAAGCTGCAAGAAAAATATCCTATCATCCCCAGCCAGAACCCACAACCGACAGGCCAGAGCAGTTTATCGACATCTATTACGAACCTTCACTTTGGGCAATACTGCACGGAGGGATTCGAGCGGAATCATACACCCGTAGCAGAACCACATTCGAGATCGCCCGCAGCGTCCACACTTCTGGCGTTCCCCCTGACCACCCAGGATGGAGCTTGCATCGGATATATCCCAGTCACAGAAGGCTTCCGAAACAGGAAGGGATAAATTTTCATAGAGTGGGCTTCTCGTAATCGAGGGCCTCTTTCTTTCCTCGCTCATGGCAGCCTTCACATTCACATCCTTCAGTCGTCGGAACAGCTGATGAGCTGATGAGAGCAGCTGGGGCGCGCCTTCATGAGCGCGCTTTTTATCGACCGCGGATTCTGGGAAGCGGGGAATTCCCAATGGAGAATATCGTCCGAAAGACCCAAGCCCATATACTGTATATATCGGATTCGACTCCAAGTCAACGCCTCAGTTTGACGAGAATAGCATTCTGGCGACGCGACGTAAGGTAAGGATAAGGATGCTAACTCGATCGTCTGCTACTGCCCATGTAAGCAACACTCGAAGCGACTGAAAAGTTGAACACAAGAAGTTTGCCAACCGCGCTTGCTCTGTGACCTGACTGGCAGCTGTGCGGCAAAATACAATGCCGCCGGATCTCAGGCGATTCCGACAGAAACTTTGATTGATTGAGTGATTGATTGTTTATTGACCTTCCCTAGCTATGTTCAAAACCGACATAGAGAGAGACCCTACAATATACAGGGGCGATGGCTCAGCTGGTCGTTGGCGGATGCGGTTTCACGATTCGCCCGTCGGGATTGTCGATATTCCTCTTTTCCCACTCTTCCAACATTACTTTTGTGTCGGAAATCATCTTCGGGGTGCTTTCTTCGTGTAGGCCTGGTCTTTTCCGTATTATACACTCAGCATCCGGGGGGTGTTCGCATCCGAGGATCACATGCTCCGGGGTCTCCTCTTCTCTCCCGCACCTCAGGCAGGTCGCTCCGATGTTTTTGAAACGAGACCTAAATTAACCTAACCTCTCTATATGTAAAAGACTAAATAAAACCTATAGACCTAAATTCTCTAGTCTGTAACCATCCCGCTCTAGCATTCGCCAGAATGCTCGATATTTCCTCGCACCGTTTTATGAGTCCTGTACCGTTCAAGGGTTCTCTCTTCGGACTTTTCGACCGTAAGAGCAGTGAAAATTCTCGCCTCCCCCGATCCCGAGGGCTTTTTGTGGAACAGGAAAGAACTCCGAAAAACCTCGATTCAAGCACCGGGAAGAATCGAGATTGCATGCCAGATGGGAGAGGTGGGTCAGATCGGGACGGCGCTCTCGAGTCCTGATTCAGCCCCTAGGCGGAAAAAAAATCGAGAATTTCCGCACCACTCACTTATAAGGGCGTGGATTCTTGAAGCTATGAGGAGTGCGGGAAATTCCTCATGCGGTAATCAAACTTCGACACTGATACGACGAATGTGGATAAGTGAGTGATTTAGCAAGAACTACACAGCTGCGAAAAATGTTTGCTCCGGTCAATCTAATCACCTCACGATCCGTGGGAGATGTAGGACCTGGTGAAAAAGAGCGCAGCGAGCACCACGACGTTCAAGCAGAATCATCGTGGTTGTTGTTGCTCTCTCGATCGTCGTCGTCACGGCGGCTGCTCTCTGCTGCTACTACACAGGGTGGTGTAAACATAAACATAACGACGAGAGAAAAGAAAGGCATTCCGTCAAAACTCCCAAATCGTCGAAACGTGTATGCTTCTCAAAGGCGGTGAGTCACTGCGGTACCCTCTCGCTTGGATCCTCCCAATCCGAGGTCCACGGTTCCATAAATTCGTGCGATCGAGATATGGCTGACGTGGGGAAGCGTTTTCTGTGTTTGTGCTCGTTTCCCGACTTCTCGGATCGAATTGAATACGTGGGGAGTACTTTCTGCCCTCCGTAGCGGCGGCGTTATTCGGGTCAGCGGTTCGTGCTTACTTGCGGATTCGAACGATGTCCCGCACCTCGACCTAAGATGCTTCCTTGAGAATTTGTTTCGCTCCATAACATCGGATATCAGGAATAGACGAAGAAGGCTGTTCGTCGCGGAAGTGGCGGCAGCAACAGTGAACAGTTTATGGATCGGCTCGCGACCCGATATCCAGTCCAGTCGCTCATCTACCCGGCTCTTCCAGGATTGCTCCACAAAGATGGCAGCCGCAATAGAGAAACGTAACGAGGCTCGAATGCATGGAATGCCATGTCTCTCGGAATCGTTCGCTCCTGAAGGAGGTCGGAGGCCGATGGGCTTGCGCCGGTGCTTTCCCTTGAGTGCTGGATCGTTTCCTGCCCACTCGCCTACGAGTGTCTGTCGGCGAATCAGCCACGGAGCGAGATCGTTCGCGATCCTTGCTCCCCCAGTGCTCCCAGAGTGAGACGTACCTTGTCACCGGTGCATTCAACTCCGTAACTTCTGCTCGAAAAGCACCTCGGCGCATTCCGCTGATTCCGACCGCTCGTGCCGCTGATCACGGAGACTTCGGCGGAGGATCCACTCGCTGACACTGCCTGCCTGAGACTTATCGCGGCCTCAAATCGTTCGACCTTAGGAGCGATCCCATGACAGCGATTCGGAACTCCTATCACCTCTCGCACACCCCGATAAGAAGGTGGAGCTGATGAGAGCCTCCTCAATTACATGATATATCCCATGCCCATTATTCCAATGTGCAGAGATCGAACACCGTCTCGAAGGCTGCGAGCGCTTCCCGCGCAAGCAGCTCTTCTGCGGGAGCCCTTAGGATCTCGAGCAAGCCTCTGCGGCGAGATCCGGATACCAACCGGGTACAAGGATACTTGAACGCTCTCGATTACCCAGTCGTTGACATGTTTCCGGTCCATCAAGGACAGTAGGCAACTCCCTTGGAAGAGGTTTTGAATCTTGGAGAGAAACGATTGAGGCGTTCTCCTCTCGCGTCGATCACTCACGATATACATATATACAACGGTGACACTCCCGATAATCCCACCGGAACCGCGGCTCCTCACAGCAGTTTGAAGCCTCGTCCAGAATAATCGGATACGAGTACGTGGATGCCAGCTTCGCTATCACAACTCAGACGGAGGACAAAGACGCTCTCAACGATCTTCCCCCTCGCTAGAGCCTCCTCTGTCTCTCGAGCAATTTCAATCAGAGATGCGAGCGTGAAAGTCCGATCTGGCTGTCGGAGATGAGGGGAGCTCTCTGCCGCATTTATTCGACATCCAGGAAACCCCCTCGAGCTTGATGCTGAGCAGTCGGGAAACGGAGAGCCGTCAGTCGTCTCTGACAATGAATGAGGTTGCTCTTGTGTGTCGTTCAGTCGAGCAGCCAGCAGAGCGGCTCTTTGGTTTATTGATTGTTCTAAAAACCCTTTCTGCTTCCAGGCGCCAGCTCTGTTCATAACCTCGAAAGCGTGCAGCTTCTGAAAGCAGTCAATAGTTTCGCGGCAACCTGCGCAGTGGGAATTCCTCCCGTTTCTCGCATCAGCTTCTTCAAGATTGCCGGTAGATTCATCCCCATACTTGCGAGCACGTGGAACCCGCGAAATGGAGATGTACGACCAATCCTATGGCCGACGAAATTATGGGCAGAGCTCTGCGCCGCCTTACAACTGTCACTACGAGCAATACGCGCCGTCACCGACGAATTTTTCGTGAGTACTTCTGGAAACTCGTTACCTAGAGCTCGGAAGTGCAGGCGTTTCGCCAAGAATGCCTGTGACTGCCTCGACACGACCTCTTCCGATCAGATGTTTCATTTTCCCAGCTCTTTTCTTTACGTATCATGATCTTGGTGTGATAAGTTATGAGCACAGGAAATGATTCGATGCAAACTCCGATACACGGCGAAACGGCTGTCGATATCCATTCTCATCCAATCTACGCGAGTGTTCGATGCCGGCTGGGTGAGTCTGACTGAGTGAGCGAGAAGTCCATGTCAGGCATGCACTGAAATCCTGCTCTTAATGGAACGAGGCGAGCTTCGCTGTCACGCGTCTAATTCGAATATCTACCTCCTCGATTCGGAGAAGCGAGTCAGCAGTCATTCCGTCGTCCGACCGTCACACGCTGCAGCCAAGGACTCGACGGCTTTTGGTCAGAAACGCGAGCGTGTTCATCGAATGCTCGCTGTCCGATCATTGATCATCGTGACGGAACAATCGCATGCGCGATCGGAAGCTTGTCTCGATCTAATGGGATCCAGTGTTCCGGTGGAAGCGGCGTACCGTGTACTCAAAAGCGTACCAATCGCGATCTTGTTCTTGCGACGGCTGCCGGAGTGATATCCAGGTCTCGAAATCGCGTAAGAATTGAGATACGGCAGTTCGAATTCGGTGCTGGAGTGCGGCGCGGCGCCAGCTCAATGGTTCCGGGACGTGTCGGCTACTCTTCTCGCCGCTGGGATCCCGTGCCCAATGGGGCGAATGTGAGCGAAGCATCTCCGGCCAAGACCCCTGATATGAAAAATGAACCTCACCCAGAGTCATGGTTCACACACACCTAACTGTGCCGCGGCTAGAACTCGGTTTCGCTCATGCTCCGGTCTGCATAATCGTATTTCCTCTGATTGCTGGCTTACGGAAGACTGGGTTGATTGTTGCGGTCATACGTCGACTGAATCGTGAGTAGAAGCAGTACTCGAATGCGTCTCCACAGCATCGTGAGCTCTTCCTCTTACTCAGTTCATAGGTCCATCCCTAGTCAGCTACAGCGACGCGCTACGCCGCGCCTAAGGGACGGAGTGACTCCTCGCTCAATCGACCGATTACTGTTCCCCTCCAGTTGGAGGCTTCGGAGTTCTATCTACACAATAAAAATGTTCAGCGTCATGAGACACGGTCACTTTACAACCGCGATTGGCCGCTCATAGCCTTATCGGAGCATCGCAACTTCAAGCCGTCGGAAAGACGGATAGTAGGTAGTAGGTAGTGGGCTTACGATGAGTCCGTGATCATAACCTGTTGGCGGTGGAGCTACTTTGTTTCGAGTGGACGATCTCTCCGGTTCCGAGGCCAATCCAAGGCACTGATGCTTTCCTCGGAGGTTTCGGTTCCCCGACAAGAGAGCTCATCCTTCTTTCTAGAACCTCTCGTGCCCAACACGCTTCGAACATCGGTGCTGCCCCCAGATAGGCGGGCGAAGCAATTTATTTACAGGCTGAACACTTCCGCTTACAGGAAAAATTCCAATCACAGAGAAATGGAGCCTCTAGATGACAAAGAGCGTGGCTGCTGCCAAGGATTCGTGGCATTCCTCCTTGGACTCGCTCTCTTCTCCAGCCAGTTGGTAATCTTCGGAATCGTTGCCCTCACGGTTTATTGGGTTTTCAAGTTCAGAGGTGGGCTCGACTTGGAGAAGGATCTTCTGCAACAGTTCAACACTCATATTATCGCTATGATTGTTGGTTTCGTTTTCTTCTGCGGTCAGGTAAAGTGAGGACTGGCCTCTTTCGAGAGCATCCCAACAAGCCGTGGGGCCGAATCAATGTCGCATTTCGTGTACGCCGGACGAATGCTCGATGAACCAGAGCCCCGTTTTGAACCACGTGGAACAGTACCGTAAGCCTGATCAATCTGTTCCAGGCGATTTTAGCATATCGTGTCTTCGACTGTTGCAAGCGATCGTATGCTCGGGTGATCCATTCCATCCTTCAAGTGTTGGGAACAATTTGCATAACCGCAGGTTTCTATGTGACCTACACGAACACGCACAACAAAGCTCAAAATCATTTCCGATCGTTACACACGTGGCTCGCACTGGCGACGTGTTCTCTCTTCTGTCTTCAGGTGAGTTGGTCCACGGTCTCGTTCTTTCGGAGTAAAGTCCGCTACTCCATGACGTATTTGTTCCGGAGGGTCGAACTACTCACACGTATTTGCAGTTTGTTCGCTCGAGAAATAGCATCTGGACATTTCTGATTCGCGCGTGGATTGCACTTTCAGTTTGTGTTCGCCATCCTATTCTTCGTGATACCCTTATGCTGTCGAAGGAGAACGTTCGCATTCCGACAAAAAATGATGCCTGTCCACGCGTCTTTCGGGCTCATACTTTTCACCATGTTTTCGGGAACAGCTATCACTGGCTTCATTCAAGCTGAGAAAGAACCGTGAGTCCCGTTCCGCCGTCTTGAAACTATCATTCCTTCGGGGCGCCTCCCGGAATATTGCTCAGAGATTGGATACTTCCCGTGAATATCCCCATCCGGTATCGGACCTCTCCGAGCCACTGAGAATGAGCGTTATCCGACCTAACTCCTAAGACTCTGATTCTCTATCGCAGCCCGATTGTGCCCCCATCCTACAATCAAACAGCCGAGAATCTGCTGTCGCTGATTCCTGGCAGTCCCGAAGAGCAATCGGATCTCATCGTGAAGATTCTCGGCTGTGCCATCCTAGCTCTCGGAGTTCTGCTATCGGCGGTTACGAACACGAGTATCCGGGGCGGTCGCGGTGTATTTTCCAGGACCTGAAGCAGTGAGCGCTTGCCACCCGCACACGCACCATCCGAGGGCTGTATCGAGATGAAGATTGAGCTTCAGACTGATATCATCATCATCATCATCACATATATATATTCCCCTACCTGACCTTTCGTTCCCTCGCCCAGGGGCACCGAGGGGCGACTTGGAATCGATCGTTCGATTCAATAGAAATTCATGTTCCCATGACTCAAAGTCGCATCAAAGCCGATCAGTCGCCGCGATGGATCGCTATAGTCACTCAATCGGCATTCTGCTTTAAGGTCAACGATTCATCGATGACCCACCTTATGACCGAATACTGTGGGTATGGATTGAAAGCTCTCATGAAGTACCTCGGACGGAGAAGAATTACGATGTAAGTGGAGATCCGATGCGTGTTGAGCCGGACATTCCACGAGCGGATCGAAGGCCTCTCCAAGACAGTCTGGAGCGGAATATAAAGTTTCCGGAGAGCTGGACCGGCCGAAAGGCAAAACCCGACTTTCGAGGCTACGACACATTGTTAACGGATTCCTCACCTTTGGAAGAATTATTGAGGGAGAGCGAGGCTGAATCGAGTGAATGTCTTACGCCACCCGTCGGGGTGAGCTCACAACCAGTGCCACTCCTAGCAAAGTGTATATATACATAGTATTGATCAGTATGTCCTTCGTGCATTTCGCGGATCTCACTCAAAAGAGATATTCGTCACCTGGTCTCATCAGTTCATCAGCAGAGATCGACGAAGGTGCGAACTCCGCCCTCCGGGATAATAAATTTGATCGTAATCTCAATGAGCAGGCTCGATTCCTGGGTCATTGCGAACAGCGTGTGTCGGGCGGCTTTCCTGCCTCCTGCAAGGAGTCCTCCGATTCTAAAGTTCAAACAAAGGCAGCGACGTCGATCATCCCGCCCAGTAGCGTGCCCTCCACTGGGAACCAGCCGATTGAGCGAATGGTGATACATCGTAGTGCATGCAACGAACTCAAGATTACATGCTTGCCACTACGGGTTTTAATGTGGCTGAAACAGAGGTTCAAATCTCACGGTTCGAGGCCGCTGATATGGAGTTCACCGAGACCGCCATCGATCCTAGAACATTCCTCAATACCCAAAGACACAAAGCTCGTGCCCTGGTAGAGGTTGCCGCCATCTAGTTAGATATTTCTCCTTTCTTGCACCCCTGAAACAAGATTTTCCCGAGGGAGTCCATTAGGCCACAGACGCTGATTTGAGGCGCGGACCGCAACCTCTCTCCGCTCTGTGAGAACTGAGCCCTGTCTCCTGGCCACTAAGTCACCTCGCCTCCGAATTCAGGGCTTGGTATGAAATGCTGCCGTTTCGGACGCTTCACTTTAGCCCGTCTCGGATGAATGTGACGTAAAATCGCGTACTTGCGGATGATATGAGCTTGAGATCATCCCGAGGATAGCGGAATGCTGTAGTCACTCAGTCAGTGCTTCTGCTTAGAAGAATTCGCCTGTTCCGAACGATTCGAAGGCTTCGAGTCGATTCGCACGATCCGAAGTTGGTCACCGCGTACCTAAATAATTACAATAGCTGGAATCGGCGAACCTAGTAAGCCTCATCAGCGCGGTTCCTGAAGAGGGAGATGGGAGATCCACGGCAACCCAGCTCCGTCAAGTTCTCCAGGTCAGGACCATGTCATTTGCCGGGGAAAAACTATCACGACATTTTATCCGCCAACGTTTCAAAAAGTCAAAGACCCATCATATCAGGATCCCATCCCGTTGAAGTCCAAAGAGCCATCGATGGAAACGCGACCTGAGCCCTTGCAAAGCGCATGTCCATTGCCTCAGAGAAGAACCCTGCATTAGAGATGCGCCCCTCCACAATTTTTTTTTTCGCTTCTCGAAACTGCGAAATCATTCGCAGGGAGACACGCCGCCAGCCATCTCCCCACAACATCACGGGGCCAAGAACACATTCTCTCAGGGCATCACACGTCACTGCAAAACCTCTATATATGTATACAGAGTAATTGAATTGATGCTGAGAAGTTCGATTCGATAGCCTATCGATTCTATCTCAGACGACGGATTCCCCCGGGGCCCGTGAGGTCCGAGGCTCCGTTTTGCCGGATGCAGACAGCTCCGACTGAGCCAGCGATAGAGAGCGTCTACCGAGGAGAGGGCTGCGACGGAATCTGTAGAGATGACCGGGTACGAAGGAGATTATCTGGCTCCGACGCGGAGAGCGTCCTGGGACACTGCCTTCTCAATTCTGATGTATGGGAGGAGCTGATCGCCTCATAGAATCTCAGTTCCCAGCAACGATCCGGCCTAGCCCTTCTTCCACCCAAGAGAAAAAAACGGAGAGGCAGTAGCGAGCTATTGCCGCATGTTCGCGTGAAAACGTCTCTTGCGTATTGCTTGAAGCTGGCGATAGGTGATCTAACTTTCTGTGTTTATAGACTATAAAGATGATTAGACTCATGAGCGGAAGAAATACGGACTATGCATGTAGACGGAATATTTAATGTTTCCGCACTCTGAAACAATTACCGCACAGCTTGAAAACCGTGGTATCCTCGTCCTCGAAATGGTCCCGCGGAAACATCGCCATACTAGGATTCACTGTTTTAAGATCGAGGAAAAACCAGAGGCGATCACAGACGTCGCGTTAATGCCCGAACTCGTTGTCAAGGAATATATTCTTGAATCGCTGTGTCGCTCTCCTCCTCTTCTATTCGTGAGCCGCTTCCCTCATACATTCGGTACCTCCATCGAAATTCGCAGCATTGTTTCTGAGTACACTCAGCTCGTTTCGACCATCGCTGTCTTGACGCATGAAATGTACCGATTCTTGCCGACTCACATTGTCATCTTCAGGTATCAAACTCAGCGCACCAAGATGTTCAGTGTTGGCCTCTGGTGACTGGGCAACCGCACGTCGACGAGCACGAGTTTCTCGTGCTCTTTCCGTTGATGTTTTCGGCCGTTTCGCAACTGCTTCTGACCGCCCTATATTTTCAGCTACCCCTGCTTTCCGCTTTCCTCACATGATGGTTCTTGACTTCGGTCTCATGGCTAACACCAAGAAATGGAGGACGAAGGAGGCTGCATGGAGGACGAAGGTTCCTCGACCGGCTACAAGAGACATTTTAAAGACGTTTTCACGTCAAAAATCTTGCGTACGCCTCTGGAGAGTACAGTCATCGACTTATATCAGGGTCTCCGTCCTTTTCTTCGGAGCTTCAGTCTCAAGATGGACGAGACTGACGATTCCCAGAGACAGCCAGATGCCACCAGAAACTACAACCCCAGTGACTCGCGTATCCTGCGGGGGAAAGCTGGGAAACGGGAAAGCTGGGAAACGGGAAGGCTGGGAAACGGGAAGGCTGGGAAACGGGAAAGCTGGGAAACGGGAAAGCTTGGAAACGGGAAAGCTGGGAAACGGGAAAGCTGGGAAACGGGGAAGCTGGGAAACGGGAAAGCTGGGAAACGGGAAAGCTGGGAAACGGGAAACGAAAAAGCGGGGAGACGGGAAAGCCGCTACGTAGGCTCGGATGAGCCGACATTGTCCCTACTCATCTCTTCATCTCTCCGTACCCGTACAATAAATCTCATTTGGACGTCGATGGTTTTGGTTTGGGATTTCCGGTGCAAGTTGCCGCTAATCACTCGGCTCTGGAGAACTCTAGCGGTAATTCCGATCCCAGACCATGTCCACGGTTGTCTTGAAGCTCTCCTTGCAGCTCTCGTGTACTAGGCATAGAACGAATCGTTCCAGTTTGGTAACCTCGAATTTTGTGGTCCGCTTGCAGATTTGATAGAAAATCAATTCACTAGTCGCTGTCTGGATGCTATCGGATTCAGCGCCGAGAGGCTGCATGAGAAGCTTATGCAAGATTCCCGCGAAGAGCGCGACGCTTTGCAATTGAGCTAAAGGATGCATACAAGCGAAGGTTCCTCGTTCGCCCTCCAAACTTCGAGCATCGAACTCCATGAGGAGGTGTCGCATGGCTTCACTGTCCAGCTTGACCGAATCTCTGAATAGGGTGCTTGATTTCCTGTATCTGGAACATCCGAGAGCTGATCTATATCTCTCATGCTGAGGCTTGAGCATCATTTACGGAAATGATGAGAGGCCTGGTTTGAACTCACTTCCACTCAACTATGAGAACTGTAAGCAAAACTCTCAAGAGATCTCCCTTCCTTATATCGGCTCCGTACATGATCCAGAACTTCAGCACAGCCGTGAAGTAGATAGATGCGCGCGGTTGATCCGAACAATGCCATGTTCCATCAAGTCCTGGAATGAGAGTCATTCGAGTAGAAATAGATCCGAAAATAATGAGAATGAACAGTCGATCAGTATCCCTACCCAGGCTCATCAAGAAGAGTCTCAGACGCTCTGATACGGGAAGGGTCTCCATCTCCTCCAAGCAAGGCAAAGCATGGCAAACTGACCGCTCCGCGTCCCATATCGACCATAACGGAGTCCGTGGCGTCTCCTGAATCCGATTCTCCGATCTATCAAATTCTGGAATGATTTCCGATTACACTTCCCGTGCTTACGTTTCTCATAGTGCGTAGTGCGGGGAAGGCCCCGCAGCCGTAGCCGAGCGCTCAGCTCTCTCTCCTATGACCTGGAGCCAGAACGCCATATTTTGTGTTCGACCCACCGGAAATCTCTATGCCTTCAGAGCCGTAATCTCGTGCCGGGAACAAGAGTCCGTAGATGATTCGTCGAAGACGGAGCGAAGTTCTATTGGCGGATATTCTCCCGAAATCTTCTACCGGAGACATGAGGTAGAGCCGCCGTTCGCTCATGATATCTATCAAGTCTGGCAGCATGTCGCACTGAGGACAAATACATGCAAATATCGGCGCTATACCAGCAGCTCCTTTGTAGTGGCCGAATTCAAGCCGCGCTGTGGATACTGACGATACGTCCGCATTGAGGAGAAATCGTAACTCACGCCAGCTAGCACGCGACGGAGCAACCATCGGGGTAGGTGCTGGTCGCAATAAGCGTCCTGCTCTATCTGCGCCTCGAGTCGCTCGAACACATCATAGGCTCCGACATTTTCAGCTATTATGTCCCGATGCAGCAGGAGAAGCCCTTCTTTGCGGCACGCCGGGGATAACTGCGGTATATGAAACCGAACGAGAAAAAGGGTTGAGATTCATGGCGGAAGGCTTAGCCTTGGACGATGCGACGTGATAATCCGACACATTCTGGATCCACGAAGAAATCCGGTGCATGAAATGGAGCAAAATCGCAAACGATGCTGTGACATCCGTTTCTGGAATTACCTACCTCTGACAGCACAACCCTCTGTGCCCCCTCTGCCGTATTCTCAAGGAAGAACTGAAGAAGGTCTAGGTGGGGCCGCTTGCTGCTTGGAATAAAGTCTGCGTTGAATGATCGTTCCGGATTTCGCATCCGATTTCTGAGCATCAGAGAGGCAGAGATTCTTGCCGGGAGCGACACGGTCAGGGCATAAGAGTCAGAGGCAAATGATGTGAAGCATTTCCGACGACCCGATGGAAGGGAGTTCGGTGGACACGGAGAGCATCTTGCGTTCCGACTTCGGAAGCTCAGACCCATGGCCGTGAGAGCGCGAGAAGATGCCGAAAATAGCCCGGGACATTCCCCGCGTGTCTATAGCTCGGGCAGAAGCAGATTTTGTGAAATGAGCTCATCATAGCCGGCTTTCGGACTGATACACGACAGAGTGGGGGTATAGCAAGGAGTCGATCCAGTCCTCGCTGCTACTCTCTTATCCATAAGGAAACCTCAGATGCAGCACCATTCGGATA